TCAATCTCTCCCTCCTCACTGGGAACTCCCTCTTCTCTCTCCAACTTAGTGGTGTTGAGGCACTTCTACTCATGGCACCCCATTATGTCTCGGCTCTCCCAGAAAAATGGAAATAATGCCGGGAGCTAGAGAATTATCACAGGGCATGAATATAAAAGAAGTTTTGAGTTCCTTAAATCAGCTATGGTCAAAGATTCCACCCTTTTTATATCCCTGTCATTGAGAGAACAAAGCACCAGTCTTATTTTTTTAAATGACTTTTTATTAAGGTAATACTGGTTTACAACCCTTTATGAGTGTAAAATACAGGAAGTGCCTGCTTTAAATGATACTGAGGTAAGCTAGGGAGCTGGGCCCTCCTTATATTTGCCTCTGGAACACAGAAGCAGGATAGCCAGACTGGGGGTGCAGAGAGGTCCCTGAACTGAGGGTGCAGAGAGGTGCTCCTCCTCTTCTTTGAAGAGAACAATTTAGAAATTTTACTTATGTGTCTGTGTTTGGTTTTGCACTTCTTAGTAAATACAGTCCTTTCGGTTTAGCAATTCTCATCTCTTGTATCACAAAGCCGTCCTCTTATACCTTTGTCTTCACACTGTAGCCCCTACGATCGATACGAGCTGACCCTCTCTGCTCAAGTTCTGCCTTTAGGGAATCTTGATTTCCTGTCCCCTGAAGCCCCCTCCACATAAAGTCAACTTTCTGGAGAACCTAATGTCCGAATTCCTGTTAAGCTTTAATATATGAACCACATCTGTATATAACAGCCACTTTCTATGTAGTCCATCCAATTCCTGTCCCCAGATGTAATCATCATGGCCTCAGCTCAGCCACCTGCACCCCTAGGCCTTGAAGGTCAGAACCCATCTGGGCAGATGTCCTGAGGTCTCTGCTTGTTGAATGAGAAGTCTATGGGGACAGTTTCTATTTCCAGCAACGGAAGAGAGATTTTCAAGGTTTCACTCTCTTGAAAGCAATTATGGTGTTACTTTTCTCCTATTATTTTTACCAGTTAAAATTCAAACAGTACTAATGATGATAATGTGAGTCGTGAAATCTTAGCTTCAGAAATGTGGCAGTCCCTGCACCGCGGTTTTAGTTCACAGTAAAAATGCAGGGAGTGGGGACAGCCTCTCCACTCCTGCCCCCACACCCAGGCAGCAACTCCTTGTCTTCTCCCGGCTATTACGTCTTGAGCACCCACCCTTACAGTTTCTGGGGATGCTCTGTCATCTGGGGATTTTCACCTGCCTGATACAAGCCTTTCTGGCATGGAAGAATTCGAGATCAGACATTAATGCTGAAATGCTCGTTTCCATGGTACCTGGCCATTTCTCTGAGGTCTAGAGGAAAAGGGTGTTTTTTCAAATTCTCTCCTATGCACTCACATTTAGCTTAGCTGCAGCTCACAAGGAAAGCTTAGGGTGAAGTCCAGGGCAGCTTTGGATAAATGTCATGTGGCTTAGAGGGCAGGTTCCCCTCACCTGCCTATCTGGGGCCCAAATATCACTTAGTGCCACGAACTTAGCCCAGGGTGCTTGTCCCAGACACAACCGGAAAAACACAGAGAAGAGTTGCTATCCCCAGATGTGTTTTCAGAATGGCCACTGGGAAATGGGTGAATCAGCTCCAAAGACTGTAGCAGCAAGCCCCTTAAGAACAGCACAACATGGGGACTGAGTGTGACCCAAGATCACACACCTACCTGTCCCCAATTCAAACTACCAGGCAGGAACTGCCTTCAGAGCATCACCTTGCCCCGTGACAGCAGTGTTTTGGCTGAAGGCTCCTTCAAGAGACTTTCTGTCTTTTAAGGGGCTTGCCCTCCTTTCAGAGATTTAATGGAGTTGCGCAAATGGACTTGGCCTGACTTCATTTCCACCTCACTGTCTTGGCAGAGCGACCTGAAGGGAGTGCTGGGACATGAGCGCCACCTAGTGGTAACCAAGTGGAACAGGGATGAGGTTTCTTATTTCAAATCACTCATGTAAATGATAATCAAATTTTCTTTTACCCTTATAATATTGCTGTAAAAGTTGGGAAAAGTTGTTTCATCTTCTTTAACTCACATATAGAGCGTGAAAATACAGAAATAGGTGCAGCACTTGTCATGAGAAAATAAAATAAGAAAATCTGTAATGAATCACCTTCCCCATAACTATAAACAACGTCCAGGCGGAGCTGCCCGTCTTTGTCATATTGAGTTTTCAGAAAAGGTGATTCCAGGCCTCCATTAAGATGACCTGTAATGTACTCTTCTAAAGGAATGTTCTGCAAAAAGTGCCAATGTCCTCATTTTCAGTGTCTGGAATGACAACCATCAGCTGCTTGGAAGCCTCCAAACACCACGTATGCTGGACGCAGCTCCCTGCTCATATTCCACCTCCATTCTCACCATAATGAGCCTGATTGCCTTTAGAGTTCCTTAATTCCTGATTTCTAGCCCAGTTTATCCATCCTGTTATTCCTTTGAGTCCTCTCGTTTATCCACCCTTACACAGTGGGATAAAACCCAAACTATTTGCTCAGCAACCACAGGGGAGCCGAGACCACCTGGCTCTGAGTGATGTGAATCACTGCATCAGTTATTCAAGGGGTTCCAGGTCTCCACCATTTCTTAGTACTTAAAGTGAGACAGCTTCATTATCTTTCCCTCCTTGAACCATATGCCTGTCCCCAACCTGCCAACTGCCAGCCCCAGCCATCATCTTGACCTTAGGCTCATGGTGCTCTGGCTTAATTGTATATCTTATCCATTCTCATCCAGGTTTGCTCCACTATTTCTCTGATTTACTGTGCTCCCTGTAAATTCTGTTCAATTAAGTTCCGTCTGAATTTTTTTCATTGATATGATTATTGAAATAGTAGCTAAATGCATACTGACCTGTGCCCATGTGTACAGCAGACCACAGAGAGCTGGGGCTTCCTAAAAGCTGCTTTCATGTTATAGAGTATTGCCTGCCTTCCCTGATAGACAAAAATTTAATTGCTGCTCTAATAAACTCTCCCAGCATCTCCTCCTCTCTTAAGTGGCTATGAATTGATTGTTCCAACCCGCTGCCCAAGACTGATATTGAATTAACTTCAATTAATAGAAACTGGTTTCCAACTTAAATAATTTGTTCTGTTCTGTGATTTGACAACAATTTTTTTTAAAGGTGGCAATCAGGCCACAGCAGCTGGGCATACCTGCAGGGAGTAGCTTGCACACCGTCCGATCTGGATTGGGGGAATATTTCTTTTGTTTCATTCTCTTCCCATTCTAATTTGACATTTCCATCCAAATGTCAACTTTTTTAACATGATGAGAGTTACAAAACTAATGAAACTGACATATTTTCCTATATATTGTGAAGAAGAACTAGTTACAAGTAAGTATGGCTGCTTTCTCCTCTTTGGACCTCTGGAGAACTGGAGACTGTCTTTAGGGGCCTTCTGAGCTGGATCCTGTGCATCTTTGAGGTTTTCTCTGCTTCTCTCACCCCTGGTGGTGATTTGAACCTGGGTACTCTGGAGATGCCCATGTCTAGCTGAGTCTACCTTCTCCATGCGGTAATGACACTTGGCTCCATCTTGTCTTGCACGTTTCTACCATGGAGACCCCAGGGGCCTTTGCCCTGAAGGAGCGGCCCCTCAGAGATGATCCTAATCAGAGCTCGTGTGTCCTGTGAGTAGGAAACAAAGCACTTTGAACTCTTGGCTCCCTGTTTCAATGCGATGCAGGTGTTCCATCTGTCTCTACAACATGCCATCTGCACAAATGAGTGTGTCACGGAAAGAACATGAAATTAAAAGCCAGGACCTGTGTTCTAGAACCAACTTGCAGCGCGTGGATCAGGAAAATAACACATGTTCTCTGCAACTCCATTTACCTAGATAAAGCAAAGGGCCGGGACTATACCAGTTTTCTCCCCCAAAGTGAGAAATGACTTTAGATGATACTAAACAAAAGCTGAAATATTCTCTCTGAATCCTAACTGATGAGAGAGAATCTCAGTTTCACACTTGTTTGTCTTTTACTGTTTCTGACCCCTGTTCATTTTTTTTCTTTCACAAAAAAAGGCAGATCTGTAGCCCAGGGTGTGAGCAGTCAAGAGTGTCCAGCCACGACTGTTAATCAGTGTTGTTACTACTTTTGTTTTTCACCATCTACAACCCTCTACATGTGGTGGCAAGTGGGGCTGATTCTGTACTTCTGATTGTGTTGTAAAGTTTACCTTGAAAATAAATCCCTTTAAGAAAACAAAACAGGGCCTCTCTGGTGTCGCAGGGGTTAAAGACAATGCTATCAAGCTGTTGCCAGTCACTGCAGCAGAAATTGGATCCCCAGCAGGTCAGGGAGCAACCCACTTGGTGCCAGCAGACCTCTCCTGCCTGGCCTGCTGCTCCCCTCAGCAGTGTATTTTGGTAGATCTGCCTGTTCTGCTCTCCACTCTCTCAGGTGAATCCTCCCACCCCCACACCTCTGGCTCACACCCCAGTTCTTGTATGCATAAATAAATAAATATTTTTAAAAAATCAATTGAAATTAAAGTATCGGGTCCTTACAAGTTCAAGTGTTTGCATAAAATCTTGGTGGTGTTGCATGGTGCATTCAGACATGTAGACATCACACAGGTGGCCTGTAACTGACTTGCATCCAGAAGCCCCACCAAGCGCTACATCCTTTTCCAGATCTAAAATTCAACCATGAGTCTCACTCTACAAAGCGGGTTGGTCGTTCTTCCCTGTCACTCCACTGTTGGACAGAAGTTGGGATGGAAGGAAGGGATGGGATGGCCTGATGCTTCTCCCCTCTGCAACATGTCCACCCCGGTGTGCCAGCGCCACCTCTTTCCACCAGCACTAGTCAGAAACTAAACCAGCGCAGAAGGGCCTTGTATTCCATCCAGCCCCAATCTGGACCTCTCCAGAGGTCCACCTCAACACGGGTGTGCAGCCCTAAGGTGTGCGTGTGTGCTTGTATATATGTCTAATCTTCTGTCTTTTTCTTTTTTTAACAGTTCATTTATGATGAAAAGGTTTCCTGGTAAGTATCTCTGTTCCCTTCCAATTTCCCCTGTTCCAGAAGGGTATGTATCAAAGACCAGAGTTAGGGTTTAGAAAAGAAAGGGAAATTTTGTGACAGTTTGTAACTAGCATGTCTTGGACATGTTCCCTCCAGCTCAAGGAAGAAATTTAATTAACTTCCAATAGGCAGAGACATTGCTTTCAACTGGGGGTGTGGATTCCATTTGGGATCCTAGTATCTCACTGTCTTTATCATTTGGGTAATCCATCTTGGCTTACCCATGCCTTTCTGAAGGCAACCATTTGCTCGGTGGTGGTTAAAGATTTGACTTCTCTTTTTAAATTGCTTCCAAACTGCATCTCCAGATTCCAATTCCCATGTGTATCTTAGGAACTAGGCAGTGAAGCCCTTCAGTGACCTTTAACCTGTTAAAATTCTACCTAGCTTTAAAGATCTTAGGGTTCTGAAAAATCAGTCTTTTTTTTTTGATATATCAAAAATTTTGCAAAATGAAATATGTAGGAAGATACTATATTTTGCATTTGGATCAACTGTACAAATCACCATTTTTGAGAAAGTTTCTGAGCAAGTCAAGTATGTTTGAAATGGAAATGGAAATTGAGTGTGTTGTGTATTTTTGTTTTTTTCCCAAATATTTATTGGAAGAAATAGGATGAAATAACATCTTAGGAATAGAGAGGTATGCCACTGTAGTGAGAACATTTTTGAGGTATTATTTAAAGCTAAGAAGGAACTAGAAAAAGGAAAGAGGTGACCAGTCTTGACTTGCAGCTAAATGAGTGTTAGCCCTTTGTTGGTGACAACTTGGTGTCTTAGGATTTCTCTGTGGTTTTCAAAATGTGGTGGGGTCACATTGATAGTAAATGTTCTTCACAATGCTAGCAGAATTTGCTTTAAGGCATAATCTCTATGCACCATAGTTGTAAAATAAGGTGATTTGGCTACATTATTGCTATGCTCTAATGTCAGTAGCATTTTGTGAAGTTTATTATGATGATTTTTAAAATCTTCATTAAAGAATAACAAGAGCCCCTTTACGAAACCACTGAAAAAAATAAGCCTAACCAAAAAAATGTGAGGGCAAAATATCTTCATATATAAATGTATCACTTAATGATGGGGATACAGTCTAAAAAATGTCTGTCAGGGGATTTTTGCCATTGTGCAAATATCATAGGGTGTAATTACATAAACCTAGATGGTATGGCCTATTGGGAACACTATTGTAGACATGTTCATCATTGATTAAAAGTAACATTCTTAAACAGGAAAAAAAAAAAGACATATAATCTCTATACTGATCCATGAAAAACAAAATGTCCTTTGAGTCAGGGTGATGAATGGGTTGAAAGGCATCAATTGCCCCAGAACACCTCAAGACAGTGGTGACACAGACCCACCTACCAGGCCCTTGTGGTGGTGGCGGGTAGGGTTGGCGTTGCCCAAGAAATCTGTCAGAAGCATCCTCATCAGCCTGAGCATAGCATGGTTAACACAACCACCTCTCTGCGCTGGCACACTGTAGATGCTTAAGTTCTGCTTGGTGTTGCTGCCATTTGATAAGACAAACAAGACAAACAAATGATGTTCACAGTTGCTCTCGAAAGTTTTTCTACTGCTTTTGTGCAGAAAACCTTAAGAAAGGCTCTCCACGGTGGTGTACTGGCTACCTTTGTCCATGGGAGTTCTGGTCTCCATCTCCCTGGCTTTGCCGATGAGGACCATGGCAAGAGGAGATGAACGAGGGCTCATGATTAGCCTATTTCAGCCCCACCCTTTTAGGATATTTCAGATGATGGGGAGCACAACAGCGTCTTCTTCCCAACTTCCTATCCGGTAGGTGACCCAGTCCTATGGTAGGACTGGGTCCAGATTCTGAGGTCATTAGACCCTCGGACTGAGCACTAGAGCTCCTATACAGCAAATTATGAGTAAGGGAATGCGAAAGCTATTGATAAATGAGTTGCAAGTTCCAGGGGATGTTTTATTCTAGCCCGAGATGGTTGGCACATAAGTCAGGCACAGGCATAGCTACAGAGAAGAAATATGGGGGGCTCTCGTGGCCCCAGAACATCTTTCCCAGACTGCTGACTTGCTATGTAATTATTGTTATTATGTGGATGGGCTGACAGAGAATATTTTTTTACTTGAGTGAGGCTGAGATATTAAAGTTTGCACCACTGCTTTGGGACTTTCAGGAATTTCAACTGCCCATTTAAATACAAAATATATTGAACTTGAAGATATGTTTCACTGTCTGCTTCCCTTACCTTCTTGCCCAGCTAATTATGAGTGTTTATTTTGTGGACAGGGTATGTCTAGGAATTGATTTCTCTAATTTCTTTCTTTTGAGCCAGATTCTTCATTGTGTGCGATTAAGGAATGGTCATCTTGCAGTAGTAGCTTAAACAGTGAATTCACTGCTGGCTGTAGAACATCCCAGCATGTCCTAGAAGTTTCAGGGTAGGAAACCAACTCACCCCAAATGCTAAAAAAGAAACTAGTTTCAGTTGCGTTTATTTGGAAACTAAAGTACTCTTTGGAGGAAATGAGCCTTGTCTGGTGCAAATACACGAGAACAAAGTCAGTGTCCCCATCACACACAGCTTAGGTTCCTTCACTGACCTGAAGCCGTGTTCCCTCATAAGTTGCATCAGCCACACAGTGGTGGTCAGAAGGTGGCAGGCCATGGACAACCAGCTACGATAGATTAAAGAAATAGTCGTTTCTTTTTCTTGTACAACAAGTACCCAAATATAAGTGGTTTAATTTCTCTTGGCCTTCCCCTAATGGTTCCAAGATGGCTGCTGTGGTTCCAGCCATTAAGTTTGGATTGAAGTCCATATATATGACCTATCCCTTCCCCTTACTTTTATATATATATATATATATATTCAATATATATATTCAAAAGGGAAGGTTTATTATAATAAGGGAAGGGAAGTCGAGGATGATTGCATGTTCACAAGCAGGCAGAAAGAGCTGCCCCTGAAAGGGACAGGTTTGCTAAAAGAGAGACCTGCATAGTCGCAGGCGGGCAGCCTTGGGAGGGGAGCTGCTGCCTCTCCTGCTTTGCAGAGGGAGATGGATGGTGAGCAGGAGTGCTGCTGCCTAGGTTATTTTATCCAGTACCTTTCTACCTTGTATCTCTTTGGTCACAACTGGGTCTATCTTGACCAATAAGTGGCCTGAGGAAGTAGGATTACATATTTAGACCAATCATTACTTATCCAAGGGCTGTGGGTGTATTTCTTCTTCATTCCCTCCTTAAGATCCGGGAATCCCCCGTGGCTGCCTCGATGTAGTGGGGTTCTGTTAGCAGGTACAAGGCAGGGGAATATCCGTTGAGTGCTTTTCAGCTGGATGCCGACCCCAAAGGATATGTAAAATAGAAAGCACCATATGTCCACCTGCTGCAATATATGAATCTGTATGCATGACTCCTTAACGACAGCTCATGAGACCCACAGTGCTGCTGGAAGGCATTTGGAATGTATCTTCAATGAGTCTGAAAGTCCAGCAGGAAAACTAAAGAATCCCTGGTGATGTTTTCATTTCTTTAAGAAGAACTTGAAGAACTTGAGCTTCAGACTTGGCCTCAAGTTGTGACTTTGGGAGAGAAGGAAGAGGCTGGGGACACAACCTGGAGAATAGCCCCTGCAACTTTTTCCAGGCTAGCTTTCACTGTTCTGGACAGTGCTTAGCAAAGTGGAGCCATGTCCTCAGGGCGAGAACAGAGAGGAGCCTCCAACCCGGGAAAGAACAATCTTTGGCAGGAGAGTCTGGGATCAGTTGAAAATAGATCAAAATGGAGGTTTGTGGGAAAGGGAAAAAACTAACTCAGCTCATGCCATAAAATGGGGTCCTCAGAGGACAGCAGAGTGGGAGGTGGTCAAGAGAGGCAGAGGGAGAAGAGTATATCGGGGGCAGGGAGGAAAACCTGGGGGCCTTCAGAGGTCTGCATGTGCCTCCAGCCCCGTCCCGCAGCTGTCTGCTGTGCATCCCCTGGATGCCAAGCTCTGCTCTAGAACTAGCCACAGAACATACCACCAAAAGCAGCCTTGACTTTGGGGCTCTCTCAGGATAGAGAGGAGGCGGGCTTTGACATGTTATGATGGGGTCATTTGGAGATGCTTGTGCATCTCCAGTCTCATATGAGAAGGGATTCCGAAGACTTTTGAACCAGGACATGATGATCAAACCATCAGGTCAGAAAGCAGAAGGAGGAGCAACGTCTCAACCGCCCGTGTGCTGTGTGGAGGCCCTGGTGAGCCCTGAGCCTGCGCGCCAGCAGCACATACCTGAAATGTCAACAGAAGCAGGGAACCCCTATCTCAAGGCCATCCCTGAAACATAACCAAAGAGAACCTCATTCTAATATTGCAATGAAGGAAAGCACTTGCTTTAGTGAAAAAAAGTAATATCTAAAGAAATTGGAGGTATAAATACGCTTGTTAGAAGGAGCTGGACTTCACGCAGCCTTACTGCAATGTTTCGGTTCCATTAGGTCATTGTCTGTACCCTCTGGCTATTAATGCTTCAAAGCCATGACAAGGTATCCCTTCAGCTCTTGGGTGCCTCCTCCAAAATGGATGCCGTCAGTAAAACCCAGATTTTCCTAATTATGTTTACACCCCAGATTCATTGGCTTTGATAAGAACCCTTTTCAGGCCACTGGAGGTATTTTGCAACTGGAAATTGAAGTTCAGAGGAAATTTCACCCTGCACAGATGAGCTAAGGGCTTCTCTGAGCTGGGGAGGGAACAGTGGGCAGCTGGTGGAGTGTCTGCTTGGGGGAATCAGCTGTCAGAAAGTCCATTCTCAGTCTCCAGAAAACATTAACTCCAATAGCTGAGGTGGAGGGTAGGAAATGAGGAGTGGTGTCAAGTGACTGCTAGAAACAGGCATTAGATATAATTAAGTAATGAGCAAACAGCAAGATAATCACAGACCCATCAGAGGTTTGAAAGAACACAAACGGCCATCTGATAGAATGTGAAGGCGTGGGCAGGGAAGACTTCTGGAGGAGGTGACATTAAAACTGGTATTTGTAGGATAAAAGGAGCCAACCGTGAGGAAGGGAAAAGTCTCCCTGGCAGAGGGAACAGTGCTTGCAAAGGCTCTCAGGAGAAGGAAAGGCAGCCAGTGTGGTGGGATTCAGAAGGGACACAAGATGATCTGGAAAAGAAGGAAAAAGAACCAGGTTTGCAGGAAGAGGGTGCCTTTTGTTTTCTCAAGTGTGTTGGAAAGGATGGCATGATCCACTAGCATCAAGGAAGCCAGTTCTGAGACTAAAGCTGTGGTAGACTCAGTGAGGTGAGGAGGGACCAGCAGTATTTTGGACATGGAGTCCTGCTGAATGTGGCGGTGAATAAAAAGAGGCCTCCATATTGATTTCCAGATTTTGGGGTGTGACTGAGCAAAAACTGGTAGAATTTACTGAAATGGCAAAGTTCAGGGAAGAATGAAGGTAGGAAGGGAAAGAAGAATTCGATCCTGACATGTTCTTAAGTACCACATGAAGGGGCAAATTGGCTGCTGGCTGTTTGGGTTGGGCAGGGAAACGTGTGGTGTGAATGCGTCTGTTGGTGTGTACAGCAGTGGGATAGGGTGGTCACACCTAAGGAGAGCATGTAGCTGAGCAGAGAAGAAGATCCCCTCCTTAGAGGTTGAACTGAGGACTGGGGAAAGGGAGGAAAAGTTAGGGGCACAGGAAGAAAACTAGGAGTATGGCTTCCGGAAGTCAGGAGCAGAGAGAGCATTATGAAGGAAGCAGGTGGGCAGCCTTCAGATGCTGCTAAGAAATTGAACAGGATGACAGAATCACCCATGGAGCTGTGCAGATGGGGGCACTAGTGCCCATGATGAGTGCTTCAGGGTGCCAATGGATATGCAAGTTAAGATTAGAGAAATTTGATTTCTGTCCCTTTTCTCCTCAATAAACTTTTTCTTTATCTAAACAAAAAAAGATCAGAGAAATTTGCCTAAATGAATGGGAGTATGGAGTGTATGCCATCCTTTGAGAAGGTTTGCTTAGAGATGTTTAGAAACAGAAGTAAAAGGGGGTGGATACCCTTTGCTTCTCTTAATAACATCCTGAGTACATTCTCTAATAAATGTACACACCACTGCACAATCATTCTTCATGGATTTGTGCGAGCCCATCTATGGACTTATCACAACTTAAGTACCCAGTCCCCCATCTTACTACCATCTTGCTTCCCAATGCTTCACTTGGATAAAACCCCTGCAATAAAACCCTGTGTGCTTTTTTACAGTCTGCCACCTATTTCCTAGGATCAGTTGCTAGATGTGGAACTTGAAAAGAAAAAAGAAAGTAGAAGGCAAAACTTGGAATCTCTTCATAGACCATTCTCCAGTAGCCTTTTCTAGAAGGCAGAAGTACTCTCTCAACTGGCTAATTTATTCTATAGCTGAAAAAGAACCTAGAAATCAGGTTCCCTGGGTTTTTAGCTGAAAGTTAATAAAGTGAAGAAAATAGAAGTGCGCAAATGATCAGTAATTCAAGGCACATTCCAGTGGGTTTTGGTATTTTTTTTCTTTCTCTCTTGACTGTTTTCCTATTCATTCATTCTTATGCTTCCTGTTGACACGTTCCCTGCCCAGGTTCTTTCTCATCTTCCTCTGTTTGTCTCCTTTATTTATGCCTAGCTCTTGTGTACGCAGCAACCCCTCCCTTGCCCCCTATGAATTCCTCTAGTGTGCCTTTGTAAATTTATCTCAATAGTATTAGTGAATGATTAAGCAGTGGGTAGATTTATAAACACAGACCTCTATTCAACGATGTGGAAGACTTGCCGTGCTCAAAGAATTCTTTGGGGGTGAGAAATAACAGAGAAGAAGGAGCATTTTACTTTTAAGTAGAAAAAGAAGAGATAAATTGTTGAAAGCTCTGTGCCACATAGAATATGACTATAGACCAGGAAATATTTGTAACCAGTCTGCATGTTGCCTTATCCTTGCAATGTTTGGCAGGTTTGTCTGCCATTCACATTAACTGTGTTTTTTTTAATTTTATTTCTTTTTAAAGATTTATTTATTTATATAAGAACTGGGATACAGTCAGAGGCACGGGAAGGTGAGAAAATTCACCAGAGACAGAGCGAGGAATAGAACAGGCAGCCTGACCAAAGACACTGCTGAGGGGAGCAGTAGGAAAGGCAGGAGAGGTCTGCTGCGCCATGTGGGTAGCTCCCTGGCCAACCAGGAATCGAACCCGCGCTGCAGAGGCTGCGGACAGCTTCACAGCGCTGCGCTCAACCCACTGTGCCACCAGGGAGGCCCCATATCAACTGTGTTTTTAAGGTAGCCTGGTGTGTTGTTCCTGTGGAAACTTCCTCTGTGGAAACTTCCTCTGATTAACTATTCTTGGTTTATATACAGGTGGGAGTCACTAGTCCTTGTGCTGATGTATCTTATCTACATTGTCATCATGAAGTAAGTCAAATACCTTCTTAATTTCCTTTCCAAACTGTTTCCGATATTCAACATGTTAATCTGGAAGGAGTGGGATAGAGAAGCAGGTACCTGACTGTTTTCAAAGCATAATCCCTGTTCCTTTGGCTCCTTGGGATCCTCTGGTGAATCACTGCAATTTTGATTGCCAGCACTCGTAGACCCTTCCAACCCACATGTGATGATAAAGGGGAAGCTTCAAGAGTTTCATTTGAGAAGTCTCTCAGACCCTCACCCCTTTTCAGGACATAGCAACCAGGTTCTTGGCTTATTTCTTCAGTCTCTTTCATAACAAGAAAGGAGGTAAAGTTCAGTAAGTTATGCTTCCATTTAGGGTTCTAAAAGGTGGGACCAGAGCTGGTTAAGAGAAGACCAAACCCATGGATCAGATGTCTGCAGACTTTCATTGTTCGTGCCACATTATTCATTGCTGCATAACCTCAAAATATATTGACTTGAAACCAAAAACATGCATTATCTTTTTTTTTTTTTAAGATTTATTTATTTATTTATTTATGCAAGCACTGGGTACAGTCAAAAGCGCGGGAGGGTGAGAGAATTCACCAGAGCCAGAGCGGGGAGCAGAGCAGGCAGAAGGACCGAAGTACACTGCTGAGGGGAGCAGCGGGCGTGGGAGAAGAGGTCTGCGCACCATGTGGGACCCTCACCCGGCGGCCAAGGATCTAACCAGCGCTGCAGAGGCTGCGGGCAACTTCGCAACCCAGCGCTCAACCTCTGTGCCACCGGGGAGGCCCAACATGCATTATCTTGTTCATCTTCTGAATGGTAGCATCCAACAGTCACATCCTGGACAGTTCTAGTTCAAGGTCATGGGTGAAACCACATGCAGAAAATGGCCAATGTGGCCATCACCTACTTGACTTCAACAGGCTGGAGGAGGTGCCTGCTCACACAACTGCACAGTTGTTGATGATGTTTAACTAGAGGGCTGGTTTCTTTTCTTTCTTTTTTTTTTTTAAGATTTATTTATTTATTTATACAAGCTCTGGGTACAGTCAGAAGCACGGGAGGGTAAGAGAATTCACCAGAACCAGAGCAGGGAGCAGAACAGACAGAAGGACTGAAGTACACTGCTGAGGGGAGCAGCGGGAGGCAGGAGAGGTCTGTGCGCCATGTGGGACCCTCGCCCTGCAGTCGGGGATCGAACCGGCGCTGCAGAGGCTGCGGGCAGCTTCGCAACCCAGTGCTCAACTGCTGCGCCACTGGGGAGACCCTGGAGGGCTGGTTTCTTACCACACAGTCTCTCCTTTGTGCTACTTGAGAGTCCCCACCCATGGGAGTTAGTGTCCTCCTGAGCAGGTGCCGCAAGATAGAGGATACTAGAGCATTTTTTTCATTCTAGTCTCACTAGTCACTTACAATCAGTCCATTAAGTACAGTCCACACTCTAGGGGTCTTTTTTTTTCATAGAAGAACTGGGGTGCAGGCCAGAGGCATGGGAGGTGAAAGAATTCACCAGAGACAGAGTGGGGAGCAGATCAAGCAGATCTACTGAAATAAACTGCTGAGGGGAGCAGCAGGCAAGACAGGAGAGGTCCGCTGTGCCATGTGGGTTAGCTCCCTGACTGGTGATAGAACACAGGCCATCGAGGGGATCGAACTCAGGCCATAGCCGTGATAGCACTGAAACTTAACCCCTAGCCCACCAGGGAGGCCCTACTTCACCTTTTGAAAGGAGGAGGAGCAAAGAATTTGTGGATGCACTGCCACCACATCCTATGTTCCTTTTCCCCCTGGAGTCTGGGCCGCTCACTGTTTTATCAGGAGTTCTACTGCTGATGTTTCCCATGCTCTGAGGTAACATGCAAGCCCCATAGTCGTAAACCTGCTGGTTTCATCTTTTTGCCAAGTACCATTGAGATGAGGCGCTTATAAATAATGCAGAGACATTCGGTGCTGCAGCTGCCTGCCCCTTCGAGAGCTGTTTCTCTTACTCTAAATTAGCTCATCCTTCCTTCAGCATATGTGGCCACAGAAGTCACTGCTTCTCTCAGGAGCGAGAAAGTGGAGCACTCTTAGAAATTGCCAGTTTGGACATATCAGGTAGCAGCATGAAATTGGCATGTCAAGTTTTCCTTACCTTGGAAGCCTGACAAAAAATAATTCTACCCACCAGTGTCTGAGAGTCTTGTTGGGAGAAATCAGTGTGGCTGTTGGCAGATGTCACACTGACGGTGAAGGTTGGCACTAGCTTGACTGATGTCTGGGGCAACTAGACGCTATCTGCCTCCACCCACTCAAAATGGCACCCACCTGCACCTCAGGAGCTGCACAGCATCAAATGTGGACCCAGTTTCTGGTCTTGTTACTCCATGAGGACATTTTTAGAGTTTCCTGGAGCTATGAAAGGCTCACCAGCCAATAGATGGGTTTCCTTGAAAACTGGAGTCGACCTGAAGGCTTTCCAATGTTTCTAGACTCCAAAAGAAAAGCCTAAATGATGGGAGCAGCCATCTTGCTTTTTTATATCTCAAATAATAAAACTGTTAAGAAACTGGTAGGGAGAACTTAACCATTCACACCTTTCTTCTGTATTTTTTTATTTGATTACTTCACCTTTTTCTGATTTTTTGAGGTTCCAAATTTGAGTTCCCAAAGAGTCCTCATCTTTCCTTTTGAAAAAGTGGATTGTTCCATTATCCCAGAACAACTGACTGACTGCTTTATGCCTAAGTCAATTTTGAATCTGAATTTAGATGACAGGATGTTTCATACTGAATTCATTAGGGTATTCACAGAATAAGGAGGTCTTCAAAATCAGATCCTGTCTAAAGGCAGGGGGGTTGAGGAATTTTGCTCACACACATTCTGTGACCCCCACACCCCTATGCCAGGCTGTCATAAAGCCCATGAGTTGCTGGCAGAGCCTTTGGACACTAAGGTAACACAGTGAACATTTTCTCTCTACCCAACCCATGCCAAATGTGAAAGCTAATGAGGTGTGTTTCTGCTGATGCCTCAGTTTTACCAACCTTCCAGCTGTTCAAACAGCAGGATACAAATAAAACAGATAACGGAAGCTACTGTGCTCATGGAATTTTCTGCATAAATTCTGGTCCTAAGTTCTAAATTGAAATCTCTGCTCTCTAGCCATCCGCTCCGCAATCAGAGACTTTAATCATTGGGTTTTATAAAATTTGATTTATAAAATTGCATGCTTTACAATAAAAGAGCTTCAGGGTGTAAGCACAAAATTTAAAACATTCAATTAAAAATATAAAACAGGATAACAGCAGTTAAAAACAGCATATGTTAGAATCATCAGCCCCCTCCTGGGTAGATTTAAAGTGATTTTAAACAAAGTCACTTTAAAAATGGCTTTCAGGTGACTTTAAACATTCTATCTGATCTGAAGGACAAAAGGTAATTTTGGTTTGCCCAGATAGGTAGACACCTTAAAGGAGCTTGGCCTTTTTATTTTTGCATAAAAGAATAGGCCAGAGTGAGGTGAGAGGATTCACCAGAGACAGAGTGGGGAGCAGAACAGGCCAAGCAGGTAAGACAGGAGAGGTCTGCTGCACCATATGTGTGTTAGCTCCCTGGCCAGGGATCGAACTCAGATGGTAGACGTGATAGCACTGAGACTTACCCCCTGGGCCACCAGGGAGGCCCTCAGGTTCCTCTTCCATAAACAAGGTTAATATTATTTCCTGCCTCAAAGGGGTTTTGTAAGGATGGAATGTGACAGCACAGTTAACTTATTAACCAGTGTCTGTTGTTTAAGAAATTTCTTATTATATCATCATAGAATTATTATCCTGTTAGCCAAATTCAATTAAATGCATAACACAGTTGTGTTTTAAAAGCAAGTCATCATGCAAACCACTTTTCAATGGAGAAAATGAATTCTAAGTCAAGGTGTCAAGAGATATTGCCTCTCTCCCAGAGCTCTAGCAGCAGGGCAAGGCATTCTTGTTGAACCTAGAAAGTGGGAAGACCTTTTCATTAAGAAGAATGTTGACTATATGTATAAAAGCAACAGAATCCTGGGCCTCCCCTGGTGGCTAAGTGGTTGAGCGCTGGGCTGCGAAGCTGCCCACAGCCTCTGCAACGCTGGTTCGATCCCCGGCTGCAGGCGAGGGTCCCACATGGCGCAGCAGACCTCTCCTGACTTGCCCGCTGCTCCCTTCAGCAGTGTATTTCGTCAGTCTGCTTGTTCTGTTCCCCACCCTGGCTCTGGTGAATTCTCTCACCCTCCCGCGCTTCTGACTGTACCCAGTGCTTGTATAAATAAAAATAAATCTTTAAAAAAAAAAAAAAGTAACAAAATCCTTTCACAAACTTCGCATGCCTATCACCAGCCCCAACAACCATCAACCCACAGCTGCTCCATCCACACCCCTTTCCATTTTCCTCCCTCCATATCACTGCAAATCCCAGGCATCATATAAAATTCATCTATAAAAATTTGAATACAGGTCTCTTAAATCATTTTAATACAACCGCATCATGATTATTGCACCCAAAATTAATGTTAATTATGTAATATAATTCAATATCCAGTCAATGTTCACATTTTCCATGATCTCACAAATGCCATTTTTTTTGCAGTTTTCTTTTTAATGTCATAAATATTGTTTCAATCAGAATCCAAATAAATTTCACTCGTTACAATTGGCAGCTTTTGTTTCTCTTTTAATATACAAATTCTCCATCTGTTGGTGTTTTTTATCCCCCTTGCAATTTATACTTCAACTGAGCTGGATTGTTTGCTCAGCAGTTTCACATGGTTTGGACATCGTTGCTTCCATCCCATAATGCAGTGTAGCCTGTTCCTTTGGTCCTTGTGTTTTATATATGTTAATCAGTGCTCTGATCTCAGTTAAACTATGTCCCAGGTGACAGCGAGCTCTGCCAGCGGTAGGCACATCGATGTCAACCTGTCTCTCTTGATGTTGGCAGCAGCTGATGCTCCAATAAAGGCTCCCTTATTTCATTAGCGCTACAAAATAATGATGCTCTAATTTCATCTGCACCTCCTACACCCCCTCATGGGCCAGGATTGGCCCTCCCGTGTTCACAGCCACCACTGTGACTTTGGACTCTGTCCTCTTTCCAGCAGTATAGAAAGAACCACCCGCTCCTGGGGAGTACACAAAGAACTTGGAAAGAGAAGTCCTGGCCACAGAGTCCTGTCTATACTCTGATGACTGTCATGACCCTAGGCCCACAACACCCAGAGCCACAGTGACTGAAGGACAAGCTCAGGATCCAGGTGGGGTGGGTGCCTCCAGAGAGCTTCCTGTCTGCAGGAACAGTCTGAGTGACCTACCAGTTGGTAATTTAGAGTCTCCTTGCCAGACTGGCTGCCATTCCTGTGGGGGGGTCAGAGATCACACTGGTGATCAATGGGCCGATGGCCAGGAAGCCACTGAGACCTTTGGTTTTTTGCACTGGAGCCAAGGAGAGGGAGCAGCAGTGGCCTACAGTGCTCCAGAAACTCTGCCTGGCTATCTTTGCCCCTGAGTCTTCTGGGATTCCTCTATGGGTGTCTTCTAACATGAAACATAAAAGTACTGGATCATTTACCCACCAGAAACATCCTAGGATCTTAAATAAAATTCCCTCCTAACACACGTGTAGGCCACACAACACCACGTTTCATAGTTGTTATGGAGAATCACAGCCCAGAAATTTTTCATAAAGCCAAGAGCCCGTTGGACCTGGCATTATAACACAACAGTAAGGGAGGTTCATAGGATCCCAGTCTGTGACCTCAGGAAACCAAGGACGGAGGAGACCTAGACTGCAGCTGCCTGTCACGTGCAGACCGTGACAACAGCACTGAGCAGCAGCATGGATGTGACACCGTGGGGAAGGGGACGGTGTCGTATCAGCACAGGTGACAGAATAGTAACAGTAACAGGAGGCCTGGAGTCTCCCAGAGTCAGTGCAGATTGAGGAGGCTGCAGGAACTTGGTGGGAGTTAGGAACGGAGGTGGGAGTTAGAAACACATGCTGATGGACTCTTTGTGACTTTGTTCAGATATAATGCTTGCATACATCAGTGCTTCGAAAGGAGGACGAAAGGTGCTGGAAACATGGTCAACGGCTTGGCCAACAACACGGAGATTGACGACAGCAGCAACTGTGACGCCACCGTGGTGCTTCTCAAGAAAGGTAACCACCAGACACTGTGTTCGAAGGAAGTGCCAGGAAATCTGTCAGCCACACCAGACCCAAGAGGAGGCTGCTGCCCCAAGAGAGGAGACTGAGGGAGAGAAGTTTTCAGGTGTCTTTCTCCCTCCCTTGGGCAATATCATAGGGCATAGAATTTCTCTGGCAAAACATCTGCTGGGGGTGAAGACAGGGAAGTTAGAACAGGATGGTAAAGGATTGAGGATTGTGGGTTTTAGGTGTTGGTCCTGTCACAATTCGCCTGTGACCATGAAACTAGTTACTTAACGACATTTAGCACAATATTCCATTAATGACAGTAATCAGTATATTACTATATACAAATTCACTTTCAGGGTGCATTACCTCTGTTTCCAAGCTGAAAAGTTAGAGGGAAAATTACCCCTTTTATTCCCCAAGGTAACCTCAATACCCAATAGATTCTTATTAAGCAGTTGATTTAGTAGAGGGTATAATACAGTGTTCTCTAATAAATAATATTCTTTCTTAGAATTAAGAAATTATCGTTTACTTTTGCCTAGAGTGTGTTTTATTTTTCATCTAATTGTTTTTTCTTTTTTATTTTTCCCTTGAAATGTGTGTGTTTATTGCATCTTGGTCCCATATGGTTTGCTTTGCAGGAAAAACACAAAAGCAATCAGAAAATCTGTAGGTTACTTTCATATATGTGTAAGATTTTGAAATCTATGGGTAATTATTATATTTTGAAGACCAATTATTTGATACTCTTTTCTGGGTAATTACAAGCATGCTTAACAGAAAGATTTAAGAGTATATGTATTCAGAGCCTTCCCACATAAGGATTTCATTTAGTTTCTCCTCCTCTGGTTAGTTTATAACCATAAAAGGAACCCTCTTAGGGAAGCAAAGAAAACTACCTAAAATTAGTCAGTGTTTCCAAAGAGCATTTCATGGTTTGGTGCCTGGGAAAACAGGAGTGTGTACCAAGAGGGATTGTGGCCAGGTCGCCATGAGCTATGTGCTCATAATGTACATTAATGGAGAGGTGTTTGGGCCTGGGTGCAACCTTTCTTCCCAGGACTGCCAGCAAATCATTACGCAGATGTGCCCTAGTCCTCCTCTGGATTTGGGCCCTGTAAAGTGGGCAGTTCCCACGCCTACCCCTTGTACATTGGACCACCATGTCCTCCATATGACACAAGGGTCAGTTCTGCTACTTGTGTTGACATTTGAAGGGTATAAAAGATTCCTAAAAGTTATTGAGATCTTTCCAATCTGAGTGATGGGGAAAGGATCCTTTGAGGACAGAAAGAAATTCTTTTATGTTGTCACCCATTCTCAGCATAAAATGAAGATGCTTACATAGTTTTAAGTCATTTCAAAAGAGCTAATAGTGAGTGCCATGGAAAGCAAATTTTGATTCCTCTCAAAATTTTGCTCACTATAACCTCCCCTGCATGGATGGAAGGAAGGAAGAAAGGGAAAAGCAGGGGGAGGGAGGGAGAAAACAGGGATCGACAGAGAAAACAAGAAAGGAGAAAGGAAGTACTCTTCCTTGATGGGAGAATGGGAGATAGGAATAGAGATGGGAGAATGAATAGATAGAATGATGGAGAAGAAGATGGATGGGTTGAAGGAAGGATCGAAGTGTAGGTAGAAGGACAAAAGGGAAAGAGGAAGGAAGAGAAAGGAAAACTGAATACCTTTTTCCTGCTCTTAACTCAATATTATGTTTCATGTCATGTTTCTAATTTCCCTAGCCAATTTTCACCGCAAAGCATCAGTGATCATGGTAGACGAGCTACTGTCAGCCTACCCACACCAGCTTTCTTTCTCTGAGGCTGGCCTTCGAATCATGATCACGAGCCACTTTCCCCCCAAGACCCGACTCTCCATGGCCAGTCGCATGTTAATCAATGAGGTACGTGGGAAATACAGCCCTTCCTCCACTGTACAGGCTTGGGAAATTTTGGGAAATGAAGAAAGTTCCTGGTCTGAAAGCAGAAATGCTAACTCTACCTCGAGCACAATACTCTCCCACCACCATGGCCCAGCATCTTTGTTCACTGGGCCACTGTATACCCTGATCCTTGCTTTCCCATCCACATGTGTAGAGACATGGTCTGGATTCCCAGTCGTATAGAAAAGCTCTCCCATCCCCTTCTTTTCATCTTCAGTTTGAACAAAGCCCTCTAGTGTGAGTTTGTACAGTAGTAGTTGCTAAATCATGGTTATCTTGGTTTAAAGTAATTGAATCTCTGACTTGAATTTTTCCTATATATTTATTTCTCTGAAGTGGCAGCCTTATTGCTACACTAGTCCAAACACTTTTTCTGTGTGTGTCTCTCTCACATATAGATCAAGGGATTCCTACAATCTGAAAAAGAAAATTAGCACCACAGTGCACGAGGAATTAAGAATATTGATAGAAAAGAAGGGTGATCCAAGATTTAAGAGTTTCCTCTAGAGGGATTTGAAGTTTCCATTGGGTCATAAAATATACATCTTGGCTCCTGGAAGGAGGTTGACTGAGTTGGTTATAACTTTAAGGACTTGACTGCTAGTGTCCTGGAACCACCTTCTTATTAACTAGCTGTCTAGGAAAGACCCCCAATAACTGGTACTTTGGGTGTAAGGATTTGCAGTCTCTCTGATATGGTAATAAAACTGTGCCTTTCTCTTCCCAGAGACAAAGACTGATCAATAGCAGGGCTTATGCCAATGGAGAATCTGAAGTGGCCATAAAAATCCCAATTAAACACACCGTAGAGAATGGGACAGGGCCCAGCAGTGCCCCTGATAGAGGTGTAAATGGCACCCGAAGGGACGATGTTGCTGCTGAGGCTGGAAATGAGACAGAGAATGAGGACAATGAGAACAACGAGAATGACGAAGAGGAAGAAGATGAGGATGATGATGAAGGACCATACACACCATTTGACCCCCCCTGTAAGAGGTCCTATGTCTGGTCTGGGGGTGGGAGCTATTTTGAGGTCACTGAGAAGATGCCCTTAACTTTGATGGTCTTTTTGCCATTCAATTTGAAGAAATATCTCTATCTGAACATGAAGGAATTTATATTAATTTCCAGTGGGCAAAAATCTGGTGTAGAGGGTCAGAGATGACCAAAATGGTGACATGCGATCATTGGTTGAAATGTGGACTCTCTGACTATATGTACAGTTTGCTGGCCTTTTGTGGGGACCTTCTCTTAGTTGTTCTGCAGTGAATACTAGAGACAAAATGCACGTGACCCTTGTTGGAAGGCAACTTAGTGCCTAAGACAAGAGGTTCTTCACCCACCTTCACCCAGCCAGGGGACCTGTGCTGCTAAAGCCAGCCCTGGGGACATAGCACCTCCCCCGCTGGTCCTTGTTCTTCTTGCTTCTGGCCCTTTTTCCCCATTCAGATCCTTCCCGCTAGCTCCAGGCAGACACTAAAGTGTTTTAGATCTGGGCAAAAGCACCCTGAACCCAGGTAACTCTTACACTGTGGGGCTGGCCCAGGAAATCTCCCTGCTACCTGCAAGAGGAAGGACCAGGCTTGTAAAAGCTTTCAGAATCCCAGGGGGGTGTCCTTCTTCCCTTACTTCAGCAGAGATACTTGGCCTTTCCAGTGACCTTGTCCCCCCCCCCACCTCCACCAAGAGTGGAACAGGTGAAATTGAATCCAGAGTTTTCTATTTATTAGACATTCCAGAAGTGGGTGGCTGTTCAGGAAAGAATGCACTGACTCAGTTCACATTCACTGTCAAGTGTATAAAACTTAATTAATATGTGCAGCTTTGCCAGGGTATTTGAATTTATAGGAGTGTTATAAAGTCTGAAGAAGTATTGTTGGAGACACTTGAAAAGCCATTTACTGATGGGAGGTGGGTGTGAAATGTTAGGGTCCTGTGTTATTTCTGGGCACAGGCCTTTCTGTACCCCATTTTTTGTGTCCAGCAGCAGCAAGTAAAACTCAGACCAGAACTGCTTCTAAGCCCTCTCTGGCTCCAGAGACCTCAGCCTCCTCAAGGATTTACCAAAATATCCACCCACATTCCCATAACCCATACTCCCAACACACCCAGCCTACATCAAATAATTCCTTGTTGAGCAGTTGTCTTGGTAGAAAAGGGTATACCAGGGCCTCCCTGGTGGCGCAAGGGGTTAGATGCAACCTATGAAGCTATCTGCAGTACTGCAGCATGAGTTCGATCCCCAGCCAGGGAGCTACCCACATGGCACAGCAGACCTCTCCTGTCTCGCTCGCTGCTCCCCTCAGCAGTGCATTTCAGTCAGTCTGCCTGTTCTGTTCCCCACTCTGTCTCTGGTGAATCCTCTCACCCCCAACACCTCTGGCCTATACCCCAGTTCTTGCATGCATAAAATAAATTTAAAAAAAAAGAAAAGGGTATATCAGCTGTTTATCCATTTAGCCGCCTTTAGCCATATTTCTTTTTTTTTAAGATTTTTTTATTTATGCATACAAGAGCTGGGGTACAGGCCAGAGGTATTGGGGCGGGTGAGAGGATTCACCAGAGAAGGAGTGGGGAACAGAACAGGCAGATTGACCGAAGTACACTGCTGAGGGAAGCAGCAGGCGAGTCAGGAGAGGTCTGCTGCACCATGCGAGTTGCTCCCTGGCCTGTCAGGGGTTCGAACTCATGCTTCAGAGGCTGCGGACAGCTTCATAGGTTGTGTCTTTACCCCTTGCGCCACCAGAGAGGCCCCTTTGGCCATATTTCTTAGGAGCCTTTTTCTCTATCTTCCAAGACAAAAACATGTTAAGGATTAAATGATCAAAGACATTCATCCCTTTCTTGCAGACATTTGAGTGTGTTTTCTATTGCTACTTAACGGATTACCACAATCTTAGAGACTTAAAACAATACCTGTTGACTAGCTCCAGGTCTGTAGGCTAAGGTCTGGCGTGGCCGGGCTGCATTTCCAGAGGCTCACAAGGCTATAATCCCATTGTGGGCGGAAATGTTGTCCCTCCCAAGCAAGTTCAGGTTGCTGACAGAATTCAGCTTGTTTGCTCCAGCTTATGGCTTAGATCTGATTTCCTTGACAACTGTTGGTAAGGGTCTACCCACTGTTCCTAGAGACCACCCTCATTCCTTATCATGTGGCCCCTCATCCAGGCCAGCTGCAGTGGGCCAGGTCCCTCTCACACCTCCAGCCTCTCTGTTTCATGAACTTCTGTGATCAGATCAGGTGCCTGCACATACTCCCACTGGGTCAGCTCTAGGATGCAGCATAGCCTGATCTCGTACTGTTGATCACCCTCTTAACAGGTTCTGAGAACCAGGGAGCAGAATCTTGGGGCCCAGGCCTAGCACGCTACCCACCCCAGTCCCTGCTTTCATTGACATCCCATAATCAAGCTCATTTTGCAAAAGTCTTTCCCTGATAAAGAAGCAGCGGGGGCAGTTGAAGCATCTGTAAGTAGCGAGGTGCTGTGTTGGCTGCCTGGAGACTGGGGAGTCCCTGAGTAGAAACCCCCCGGTACCCCAGCAGACAATATCTGACCCCCATATCTAAACCTCACTACTTAATAGAACAAAAGGGCCCTTTTAGGTGACTTGTTCCAAATTTTCTCCTTTATAAGATGAACTCCCAACCTCACAGTGAGGTTTCAAGTTATCTTTGAAACCCTATCTCTTTGATTAGGTTACAGATGCGTAGGCCCCAGGACTTCCAGCCACATAGTCTTATTTCTCATACATGAGGAGATGTGGCTGTGGGTGGGTGCTTGGGAACCCCACCTCGGCCCCCTGCATCCTTTGGAAGCACGGACACCAGAGGAGAATTGATGCCTATCATAGTCCTGCCGCCCTTGGATCCCTGCTTCCTTCCAGGGCCTTGAGCTGCCGAGACCGGAGGTGGAATCTCGAGTTTGTCCTTACCAGCCCTTCTCTCTTGGGCTTCCTTGACATAATGAGGTTCCAATTCAGGAGGCTTGGGGTGGGGCCTGAGATTCTGCATTCCTAATAAGCACCCTGGTTACACCGATGCTGCTGCTGGTTCTTGGGCCACATCTGGGATGACGAGGGGCTCAAAACCTGGACTCACACTGATGATCCTTATAGTTATTCTGTGATGCATAGAAACCTAATTCAGAGACAGTTTCTGCCACTGATAATGGGCTCATCTGAATGGCCCTCTGTACCTGCCATTAGTTGCTGAGAAACTTCCACTTGAGGCTGGGAGCTGAGTGTTCGCCAGATCCTCCTCAGGCCAGTGGGCCTCCTGCAGCACAGCATTGAGCAGGCAGGGGCACCCCGGGCAGGAGAGGGCGCTGGAGGAGCACCCTGCTCCCCAAGTTTGGCTCCTCTCCAATAAGTTCCTTTAGCCTGAAAGAAATCCCTCCACATGGTGAGAGCATGGTCTCCTGCAAGTGCATCAGCTGCTGTGCTTCTGCCGCACAACTGCTGGCTTCTCTCCAGAATTTGAGTATAGTGAGTAAAATTAGCAAATACGAAGTGAGCACAGTAAATATAGACATATAGATGACATGTGTATGTATGCACACATTTTGTCTATGCATTATGTGCACATCCATATGCATCGATGTAAGTGGACTGCCTATATACACTTACACACATATATACATGCATATGTGCCTGGTGTGCCATGTATAATTAATATGATGTGCAATATAACATGTTTATATATGCACTGTACACCTGCATACTTAACATATTGTGCTGCATGTCTTTAGTATATGCACAGATATCAACATACCTGTATTTGTGTGTGCATATATGAATAGATGAAATACATGTATATGTGTGCATAGCACGTGTGTGTGCATACATATACATAGAAATAAATTATATATATATTCTTACCTCTTGAGTGAAGAGTGTTACTGTTGACTGGCTATTAAGAAAAACATTTATATGTATATAGGTAAACACATTTCCATAGGAAAAAGATTGAGAAGAATACACCAAAATATGTTTGTCGTAGGTAGAATTATGTTTGATTTTTTTCTGTATTTTCCCTTTTAAAACAGTGTGCAGTTTTGCTGTCTATATAATTAGAACAAATTAGAACAAATTTATACATTTAGTTCTAGGTAGAAAATACTGACTGAGAGATGACCTTTTCTCTCTCCAGTAGAATTAAGCTTTCTAAGATGCTTAATAGGGAATGTAACAGGAGCAGCCCTTGGCTTTTCAGAGCCAAATCACACTCAGAGGCTGGGAGCTGAGTGCTCTAGGCTCGGCATCCCCCATTCACTTGCCTCCTTCATCTCCCAGTTGCTGGCTAGCTTTTGTGATCACAGCATCGCTGATGGACCAGGTCTGTGCACAGGGAGTTTTATTAATTCTCTGCTTTGTCCTCAGCACCTGGAGCAGCTCCTGACACAGAGGAGCAACGTGGGTGCTCAATAAATACTTGTTAAGGAATAAATAAACCTATTCCCAGGTTGCCCTCTGTGCTCTAAATAGCAATAAAGCAAATGAAAAATGCATATGCTCTATATTCAAAGGGGGAAAAAGAAACTTTTCCCATTATTCAAAAATGGAAATTTAGACTTATCCACTTATAGACAATTCTTATCTCACTTCTCCTGCTCCTCAAAAGCATTTAAAAGGCACACTTTTGTCTCACTTGGTTTGCTCAAGAAGTTATCTTTGTTATATTTAAAGGTAACCAGGGTGACTCTCACTGAATCTCTGCTTTGTTCTTGTTATAATAGAGCTCTGACTTAAAACATCTCTATCATTTTGAAGGATTGTGAGAACTGTGTTCTAGATAGAATACCCTCACAATGTCAAGTCAGAATTTTTGAAAACATCTTAGGGCAAGAACTCAAAACCTACCCACTGTTGCCAGCTTCCCTGATCCATATAATTTTCTAAGATCTTGGAGTCAGAATCCTGACTTCATTTTTCTTCTCTATTTCCTGAAGGATGAGAAAGAGTCAAATGGAAGTCATTTCTCTTTCCATTCATGTGTTTCTTTCTTTTTAAAAAAAAAAAAGTTTTATTTATTTATTTATACAAGCACTGGATACAGTCAGAAGCATGGGAGGGTGGGAGAATTCACCAGAGCCAGAGCGGAGAGCAGAAGAGGTTGAGTGACGAAGTACACTGCTGAGGGGAGCAGCGGGCGGCAGGAGAGGTCTGCGCGCCATGGGGATCGAACTGGTGCTGCATATGCTGTGGGCAGCTTCACAACCCAGCACTCAACCGCTGCGCCACCAGGGAGGCCCCTATTTCTTTGTAACATTGGTTGGCTGTGTATTTTAATCCTGACCCCAGCTCTCTCTGTGTGAAGGCATCAGGAAGACTGGAAGGCCTGGGAAGAGATCTTGAAAGCCCCAGAGAGAGAAACTATTTATCAGAGAGATAAACTATTTATCAGCACATGCAGGATTTAGGAACATGCACAATTCTACCATGTATTCAGGATCCAAACTTCGGTCCATGTTGTGGATTCTACAGTATTTAAAACCCTTACACACAAAAAAAACCTCACAGTCTTCTTGTTTAATAATCCAAGCCAATGCAGATTCTCTTCTCATCATTCACTTTACCATCCCCAAATCTTGAATCTAACAAGATGCATTGCAGCCAATAGGAAAAGTATTAGAGACTGGTATAGAATTATGAAATAAATTTTGTTAAACACTGTATTCATCACCATTCAAAAAGTAAGTTAAAATGTCTGCTTAGTTCTAGTGGGAATATAAAATGGGACAGTCGTTTTATAAAAATGCCTGGTCGTTTCTTATAAATTCAAGTAAGTACTCACCTTATGTCTCAGTGATTGTATTTCTGGATCTTCACCCAAGAGAAGTGAATGCCCACAGAAGGGCTTGTCCAAGAATGCTCATAGTCACTTTAGTTGTTATACTTGACAACTGGCAATAACCTAAATTCCCATCCATAGAAATATAGATCAACAAATCGTGTACAGTCAGACATCACTTAACAAAGGGGATACATTCTGAGAAATGTGCCATTAGGGAATTTCATCTTTGTGCAAACATCATTAAGTATAATTACACAAACCTACATTGCACAGGCTACAACACTAGGCTGTATGGTATAGCTTACTGGGACCACTGCCGTAAGGGCAGTCTGAAGTTGACCACAACTATAGTCATAGAGTGGAACACTATGCAGATTTTAAAAGGAGTATATTAGCAATAACACATGAATGAATCTCAAGAAACCTATGTTGAATAGAAAAAGCCACAAAAGCACACTGTATGATTTCACTTACTTGAAGTCGAAGAACAGGGAAAACTAATCTGTGGTGGTGGGGTGTGGGCAGGGGGTAGACTGGAAAATGGCACAGGGAGTTTTTTGTGTGTGTGTGTGTGTGTGTGTGTATGTATGTATGTGTGTGTCTATCCCCCCAAAATTAAATTTATGGGTGTCCTTGATACTCAGTATTTAGACAGTACAGAGATAAAAGATCACGCAATCAGTGACAAAACCATCATCTTTTCCATGATATCAGGTGGAAACAGGACCAGAACACAATGATCAGTTTGCAAATCCGTATCAGCTTGGGAGGCGAACAGCCAAGGAGTGTTTTGACTACTTTCAGATTTCAGTGAGCAGGCTGACAAATGCTTAACAATTCCACTAGATGGCGCTGTGATCACTTGGGGAGAACAGAGCAGAGGCAGACTAGTGGTCTTTCCAGCTCCCCACCCCACACACTGTCCCCGCCCCCATCCATTTGTGTCTGAAGCTCTTCCTCATCCTCTCCTACTGACCCCGTTTGCCAAGCCCCCCCCCAGCAATGCGTTACTCAGAAGTGACTCATCCTGTCATTTTGGAGTCCTGACTAGCAGGTGGGCGGTGGGTAATTTTTTATTCGGCTTGGTTTTGTATGTCAGGTTTTGTTCGTGGTGAAAAGTCATTTGAATCCTTTAGGAAAAGAGCATTATGGTAAGATTTATTACACAGGCCAACAATTAGGGCGTAAAGGTCTGGGGAATGCAGCATGAGGGCTGGTGAAGCAGAAAAATAAAGCTAACTGGAATTTTTTTTACCTTTTTTATTTTCTCAGCTGGCAAACTGGAAACAGTGAAATGGGCATTCACCTGGCCACTGAGTTTTGTCTTATACTTCACTGTACCCAACTGCAACAAGCCCCGCTGGGAGAAATGGTTTATGGTGACATTTGCCTCCTCCACGCTATGGATTGCAGCTTTCTCCTATATGATGGTGTGGATGGTGAGTGTCCTGAGGACCCCGTGGCACTGTGGTGCTCTTCAGAGAAAGAGAAATGCACTCAATCAGAGGGAACTATGAGTTGAGGTTGTAATCCAGCAGGTGTATCCATCAGCTATTGCTGCAATCAGCTCTATAACAAGCTACCCCAGAACTTGGTGGTTTGGAGGCACAAGCTTTTATTCTCATGCTGTCATCTTCAGGTTAACAGTGATTTGACTAGTTTTATCAGAAACTAGTGAAGCAGCACTGCCTCCAGCTACAGCGTGGTTACATTTGATTCAAGCAGCAGGTGAGGTTCATGTCTACTCCACGTGTTTGCTCATTTTCCTTCAACTAGTGCCTACCTGGAGCATTCTTTTCTCATGGGGCATCATTAGCAAGCAAGAGGGTGAGTGGATACACAACATACCTCCGAGCCCTCGCTTGGAAGTGATATGCTGTCATCCTACCCATATTTCATCAGCAGAGCCCAGTATCAGACTCTCTACTCTTGTGGGAAGAACAGCAGAGCCTCAGGCAAAGGGCATGGAGGAAAGGTGTGGGGGGTTGGGGAGTGGTAACCCCATCTGTCATAGTCACTGCCCCTAGCTGGGTCTCAGTGTCATCAGTCAGAAATCAGCTCACTGGTTAGGTGACTGACCTAGCAGGGTTCCTTCTGTAACTAAAATAATGATTCAGGGATTGGCATTGGTTGTGGGTCTGTGACTTCATGTCTGACCCTAAGCCACTTTAGGAAACTCAGCCTTCCAGAACTCATCACCCACTTATGACCACTTCAGTGGAACTGGAGTTGTGCAAAACTTAAAAGCTATGATAGAATGATGAATCTCTAAGTCAGTCTTGGATGGAAATGAAGTATAAATTCTGCAGAATTAAACTCAAGTTAAAAAAAAAACTGTAAAGTTTTTTTTTGGAGGTAATAGCAAAATTGCAAACCTGCAATTAGCTTATAATCATTCAGCATCACAAACAGATTTTTTATTTGGTATGTCTGTTGAGTGCCAGCTCTGTTCCAGGTTTGGGGACTAGTGTCAGTGTCCTTGACTGTCTGATTTGATGGTATTTTCTAAGATCATTAACACCCAAACTACCCCACTAGTCTGAGGTTCCCCCTCCTTCTGTTTGCTTCTTTCCTTTGGGAGGGAAGAGGGTGTAAAGAAGTTCTGAGGCACAGCAGAGAGTAAGAGAAAAAACAAGGAGAAGCTTGGAACCTGGTCCCAGCCACCTGGAGAACCCCCACACTCAACTAACAAACACGGTAATAACATCTAGGAGCAGAGGGGGAGGCAGTGCCTTTCCAAGCCAAGCCCCACCTATAACAGCCAGATTCCTGCAGGGACCAGACTCAAGGTTAGAAGGGGAAAAACAAGGACTGGCCAGGACACTTGTAGCTCCATTTCACAAAAGGCTCCTCAGAGCAGCAATAAATACTGTGTTTCTGTATTTCACTTTCCTCCTGGAGAGTGGAATGCAGCCCCAATGCCACCCCAAGTTCAATTCAGCATCAAAGGCACATGGAGATACATGTTCTGGTTTGACAAGGGGAGAACCAGGCATCTCAAGGATTTAACTAACATCCCCCAAAACTTTGGACTGGGGAGGAGTGACTGTGACCTTGAAGCAAAGTCACAGTTTGATGGGTCACTGGGGAGGAGCAGTGAGGAAAATGAGCTACTTACAACATGTGGTTTGCATTTCTTGTAACTTTACAGAAAGTGAGGGAGACCAAGTGGCATCCTAAAATGACCTAATCATTTCAGCTCTTACAAGTTATCCTCTCCTTAGGCCAATGTAGTAGAATTCTCTCTTTTTCTACCTACCTCTGCTTTGCAGCTGTCCCCCTCATCACAGTATCTCCCCAGCTGCCTATCTCTCCATTTTCTCACCTGGAAATCAGGGGCTAGAAGGAGCTCATTTACATAATGGAAATAGCTTCTCAGGTATGGCTTGTCTCCACCCTCTAGCTATACCAGCCTGCTGTGTAAAATGAGCCTGACTGCAGGGGGCAGCCACTTCCTAATAAATGGGCCTTGGGCAAATGCTTCCGGAAGCCTCAGTTTCCTTTGGGGGAAAATGGAGATGATACTAGCACCACTCCATAGAGTTGCTGCAAATTAACTAACATAAGCCTCATCAACATCACTGCCTGAGCACTCAGTCAACGTGAGTGATGACTTGCGCAGATAATGCTGACCAAGGGGATTTCACCAGGCTTTAAGGAAGAGAAAACAGGAAAACAGCAGCTTACTGCTTTTCATACAAGACTAGACGATGTTCGTCCAACCCCTTTCCAGTTCTTAGAAATTCCCATTATGCATCTTGGGACATGGATGCTCAAACTCTCAGCATAGCATGACTATCATCCATTCTAGATTTCCCACAACCATCCTGAGTTCAAATATTTGTCCAATATTCCCTTTTTCTAGAAACTGTTTCCCCTCTCTCGTGCCGCCTGCCTTGCCTGAAAGGAACAATTGAAAAAGACCAACCTTTGATTGGAAAACTGGGCTCCATAACTTGTCCAGCCCCCTGACCTGCTACACCTTCTGCCCCCTGCCATGTTCTCTACCCTCATACAGGAGAGCAGATATCGCCCGCTGGAGACACTGCATAGAGTGCAGCCTTTTGTACTTAGTTGGAGGATCCCAAGCAGGTGGGTCTTTCATCTGCTCTCAGCTCAGCGCCTCTTCCTGCTTCCTCCAGGTCACCATCATTGGTTACACTCTGGGAATTCCTGATGTCATCATGGGAATCACCTTCCTGGCAGCTGGAACCAGCGTGCCCGACTGCATGGCCAGCCTCATCGTGGCCAGACAAGGTGGGGCCTCCCGTGGCTTGAGGATGGGGAGAGAAGGAAGGCATTTGGAGGAGGGGGGAGGGCACTGGTGGCAATTACCAGGGCACCAAATCCTGGCTTGGAAGGAATGATGTGTGACTTCAGTGCCATGTTGTTCAAAAGGCTTCCTGGCATCAGAAGAACAGAACAACAAGCCAGAAAGTCCCACCCTTGAGAAAGGCGAGATGTTCCTGGGTAGTGCCAGCAGTACCTTCTGAAGGTTGTATTTCAGTCCTATTATTAGGAATAGCATTAAATAAACTGCTAGCGAAACTTTGCTGAGTGCTGCTCACTGGGCAAAGCAGCTTTGGGAAATTGCCTTGTTTAGCTGAAATAACAACTCTGAGGTCAAAACAATCACACACCCTTTCCATGGGTTAGGAAACTGAGGCTTAGCCAGGGTTTTCCCAGCTGTAGTACCCATCACAGTGGCAGTTGCCAGAGGTCAGTCTTATGTGTATGATGGACTCTTCCTTCCTTCCAAACCAAACTCACATTTTTCCCATCCCAGATGGACATGCCTCTCCCCAGAAACCACTAAAATTTATAAGCCTGATTTGTGCTAAAAGATATTTGTTTTCAGGAAACACAGTGTGTAGCTACAGAGCTTAGCACAGTGTCCTCTAGACATCCTCATGAAATTCCACCAGTTATAATATTTTCCTTAGTACTGCTTAATTATTCAGAAGACTTGAATATAGCCAAGAGCATTTGGGAGAGGATACTGAAGTGAAGTGTGTGGGTTGATGAGCTGGTGAGTGACTTTATAGAACTGTTGAATTATCCCTTTCTATAGAGATATTTCAGAATTACATGTGGCTTTGAATCCCCTACATTTACATTTGAAATAAACTCAACTGTTAGATTGGATGTGATATTGTTTCTCTCCTAGCCTAGACTAGCTTGTTGATTTAAAGTCGATGTCAATCTATAGTGAGTTAGCGAAACTGTTCTCTGACTGTCAGAACGAAGGCTTAGAAGAGTCCCTCATGGGCCCTGTGCTCCCCTGATGTCACCTCTCTCACTCATGACTTCTTATCCTTGCAGGCATGGGGGACATGGCTGTGTCCAACTCCATTGGGAGCAACGTATTTGACATTCTCATTGGCCTTGGTCTCCCCTGGGCCTTGCAGACCCTGGCTGTGGATTACGGCTCCTATGTAAGTGGTTTTTCTCCATGACTCTCTTTCAATCCAGGGCTACATGGACTCCATTTTTGGTGACCTTAGTCCCTGTGACTTTGTTCAGGGCAAAGGAAGTATGAAATTAACAGGAAAGAGGAGGAAACAAATTCTCCACATCCTTCCAAACTTCTTCTGTAAAGAGACAAATAGTAAATACCTTGGACTTTGTGCTCTCTGTCACAACCATTCCACTCCTGTCGTAGCTTAAAACAGCCCAGGGTAAAAAAAAAAAATGTATGAGTATGGCTGTTTCAATACAAATTTATTGTTATAAACTGAAATTTTAATTTCATATAATTTTTACACATTATGATATATTATGATTCATTTCTTTTCAATCATTTAGAACTGTAAAAAAAAAAACATTCTTAACTCAAGGGCTATGCAAGAGCAGGTGGTGGGCTGGATTTGACCCATGGGTCATGATTTGGCAATCTCTGCTGTAGTATACTTGTTTTGCATGCAGAATATTTATATTCATGTTAGTAGGGGCAAAAAATACAAAATACCATCTCTGCCAGGGATCTGGCTACAGTCAGACCTTGCACCATTTCCTTAGTCTGGGCTGATCATGACCTCAGGTAGATTTGCAGATAGGGAACCAGGTGGTCCAGGTAGATATTCAAGCTCTTTCTCAACTTGCCCAAGTGTTCCCCTCTGCTAATGGAAGCTTCTGTCCTCAACATTGTCAAAGACCAAGGGAGAAACCATAAGAAGAGATTTCTCCCTGTATCCAGAAGATAACAGTATGAAGTTTTTACACCGAAACCCATCCTGGGTGCTACTCTAAATGTGTTACTGCTTGTCCGCTCAGTCTTCCTGAGCAATATGTTGTTGGTAATTGTATATTCTGTAGAAAACATTGACTCATTTTATCAAAGCAGGTTGTAATACAGAAAGATCATATGTTTTTGGTTCACATGAAGTTACCTGCTCACTGACAGATTTCATCAGAGGGTAAAGATAGACAAAAGGAAATGAAAGAAAGCTGAATGTGTTCAGCAGATCAGGGGTTTCTTCTCTGTTGTCTATGAAACTGCTTAGTGAGTTGGTTAAGAGAGGCCCTATTTCATTGGGAGATCTGGGGAAAGCTGCTTCAGAAAATGACTGTAAGCTAAACTCTGAAAAACTGGAATGAATCAGCCATGGGGAAATTGACCAAAATCATCCCAGGCAAATGGAAAGACAGTGCAAAAGCCCTGATACAAAGGTGCACTTGGTGTGATAGAGAAACAGAGGGAAGTCCCATGTAATTGGAACAAAGTGAGCCTGGTAAGGTAGAGGGTAAGCAGGGCCAGATCAGCAAGATGCTCAATTGATAATTCATAATAAACAATGACATTCAAATTTATGTGGGGCCTCCCCGGTGGCGCAGCGGTTGAGCGCTGGGTTGCGAAGTTGCGCGCGGCCTCTGCGGAGCCGGTTCGATCCCCGGCTGCTCCCCGGCCACCGGAGGAGGGTCCCACATGGCGCGCAGACCTCCCCTGCTGCCCGCTGCTCCCCTCAGCAGTGTACTTCGGTCCTTCTGCCTGTTCTGCTCTCCACTCTGGCTCTGGTGAATTCTCTCACCCTCCTGCACTTCTGACTGTGCCCAGTGCATGTATAAACAAAACAGACAAACAAGCAAACAAACAAACAAATAAATAAATAAATAACATGCCTCTATTAAAAAAATAATAAAAAAATACAAACAAACTTATGTGATACATGGATTTAGAAAAGTTATGATGACATTTATGAAATATTAAGCAACCAGGAGTTTTAACCCTGGGTCCTAAACCCAGAAGAAGTACTCTTTAGCCTTGTTTAACTATAAACAAACAGTTATCCACTAGAAGGGCTGGGTTTCATGGTCTCCCAACAATATGCCTTAATATCATACCTCCCTGACTGCTCTGACATTGAATAACACCAACTAGCAATATCACCAACTAGCAATGAGGGTGCCCTGCATTTCCCTGCTGAAGTCTTTCCTCCACAGATTCCTTACCCTCAAATGTACACACTCCCCATCACTCTTCCCATTTTAAATGATGTCCCTTCTTCAAGGTCTGTCTCAATTGTTATTCCATTCAGGATTCCTTTCTGGAAATCCAGCAACAACAAACAGAATCTCATAGCATTTGTTTATGTCTCACTGACCCTTGTCCTGAATCTGTGAATTGGGTTCATCTTGTTTCATGTTCAGTGATACATGTAAGAGAGACACTGAAGGAATGTCATCCAAGTTGGTCACTCACTGAAGGCATTTTGTCCATTGGGTGGTCTAGATAATCTTCTAAATTCTTCAAAGAGTAAGATTGTCATTAGCTCTTGTCATTAGATTGTCATTAAGATTGTCATTAGCTCACATCAAACAAATTCCCAAGAGCTTCATGTATGTGCTCTAATGTTAATAGATGGTAGGTAGTAAGCTATACCAATGACAGACAAAAGCATGAGTGCTGTTTTCCCAGAGAAACATCTGTGAAGCACTTCAGGAACCCCTTGACCATTCTTGAGTTCATTAACTCACCAGGAGGACTCACATGACTCAAAAGCAGGTTGTAGGCCTGGCTTGGTTTATTATAACAAAGACTGGAATAAAAGTAGTAGGAAAATGAAATGCATCAGAAGTCAAGAGAGATAAGATGCAGACTTCCAGTGCTATTCCACGGGTCACACAGGAGGCATTCTCACTAGCACTGAATTACAGGAACATGTGTGAGATATCTCTGTCCAGGGAAGTCCACTGGAATCTAAGACTTTTATGGACAGCTAGGCAGGTAGACACACATGTCTGCTACATGAGTAGTTGTGAAAACAAAGCTCAGACTCCCAACACAAAGACCACCTGTGGCTACTCAACACCACTGACGAGCCAGAGCAGCACGCCCCACTGCTACCAGTATATACATCATCCATCAGCAACAGAAAAACCAACCCAAGGGCCATGTATTCAGGAATGACCAAGGATCCACATGGTCCCAGGCTCCCATGATGACATATGGGATTCAGTAACAGACCTGCATTAACACCTTCCACACGAAGGTCAAATTAGAATTGTATCTGTCAGAATAAATATAACTTGCTGTATTCTAGATAACTCCCACAAAATTCCACTGAGGTAGCCAAAAAAAAAAAGTATTATTTCTTCCTGACAATCCACTTTAGATGTTTTATTCTGCCAATTCCCATGGAATCTTCAAGCAGAAACTCAGGAATTGGGGCTTATTCCACCATGTGCTTCTACCATCTTGGAGTCCTTCTCCAAGAGTCACATAACAAGCAGAGAAAGCGAGGGCATGAAAGATGATGCAGATCATTTTGTGATGGGGCCTATGTGTCCTCTCTGCTCCAACCCATAATTCAGACAAGCTATAGATTCCCACCTAGATGCAAGGGTATCCAGAATGTCCTGTAGCTATGTGTCAAGGAAGGTGAGGAGATACTGATGTCAGTGAGCATTTGCAGTGTCAGCTGGAGTTTTGGGTTGAGAGTAGAAGCCAAAGATATCTAGATAACCTTTTACTTGGGTTGGAGGGCTGCAATTGTCCAAGGCATCCTCACCTGTCCCCCACCCCTACTACCGTATTATAGGGCATATGTCTGCCACTTAACCAGAGCACATGGGCTGAGCTGCCCTCCCTTTCTTCTCCAGCCTCCTGGGCCTTACAGACCAATCCTGCCTTTTTGAGCTCCCTTTTCTGGGTCACATGTGGGTAGTCCCTTCCAGTTAACACAACTTTCCTGTAGTCAAGCTGAGAGCAATACTGTTGCTGTGTTTCAACTCTCCCATTAAAGTTGTGTTGCCCTTTCCTTATAATTCAAGTCACTTGATATGTTTTGCCACTCTTAAAGTAAGCTCTTGGGTTTTTTCTACAGACAACTAATCTGAAACTTTACTTTTTGTACCTTTTGTTATAAGACTAGTTCATGATCTTCATAGAAAATTAGAGAAAACTAGAGCAACATCTGCCTGGTAGGCTTTCTGTAATGACAGAAATACCCTAGCTGTACTGTTGAATGTATTGTAGTAGCCCCCAGCTACAGGAGATTTTTAAGCATTTGAAATATTACTGGTACAAGTGAATAGCTAGATTTTAATTATTTTATTTTAATTTATTTAAATTTATATAGCCACATATGACTCATGGCTGCCCTTGAGATACTGTAGCTTCAGAAGATACAATATAAATCATATATAGTTCAACCCACAGACATCAATTATGAACATTTCAGCATATTTTTCTCTTTCTAGGTTGATTTATGTAGCTGAGATCACACTGTAAATTTTTATATGTTGCTTTTTATATTTCTTTTTATGTCAAACACGAATACCCTTAAATTCCCATTAGAAGCATCAATTTCAAAGCAGCCTAATTTTTGATGATGCCAAAATTTAATCATGCTGCTGCTGGTAGACATTAATTTTACATAAAATTTTTATTGTCACAAATAATGATACCACAGACATCTTTATACATCAATATTATAGATTTTGGACAATCCATAAATATTGTACTTAAGTCAGCTTCTACATTAAAGACGAATTCTTTTGATCATTTTCCCAAAGTTGAAATGGCTTTATAGACTATGAATATTTGGAAGCATGTTATGCATGCCTAATTATTTTTCAAAATGACAGCACTCCTTGCATTTTAATTTGTCCTAATTTCATTCCTGAGGTTTGGGGGTAGCTTCATGGTGCACTCATATTCTGACCACAGGAACCTTTGTGAGGCTGTGCTTCTCAAGACAGATAGTAAGTACCTGTACACACTCCAGCCACGAAAATATGTGTTGAGTATCAGAACCTATGGTTAGAACTGCCACTGCATTTGCATTAGCTCTCACCAAAAGTTGAGGGAAGTTTTATGTCCAAGCTAATAAATGAGGGCATGTATAGAGTAGTAATTCGATGCCCCTTCAAACCTATATACATATAAATTTTTAAATTGGGGTCAGCCTTTATTTTTGGGGTGAGACAGAATGGT